CCCCTCCCCTCCCCCTTCTCCCTCCCTTTTCATCCTGACGCCCACCACCAACTCTGTTGCCATTACACAAGAACTTGTCGCTCAACTGTTGGTCATTTTGTTACAGCATGCCCGCTCCGTTGATAGCCAAAGGTACGTCTTGCCAAATCTTCTTTTATTTATTTAGTCGCCCATATTGAAATATTGGAGAGAGAGAGAGAGGCAGAAGAAAAAGACCGTTGGACCCCTGCACAGCCCTCTCCATCTTACTCGTGTACTGCCCCTCGCCCTTCTCCGCCGACGGGCCACATAATACCGAGCCCGCTCTGTGGCTCGCGTCTGGCCCAGGCAGGAGGACCAAGTGACCTGAGTCGCCTCTGAGCAAGTCAGCCGTGTAGTGGCAAATGATTCATTGCCACGACGTTTACGCAGTACATCACTCCTCTCTTCCGTCGACGGAGAAGACTCCATCATTTCCATCATCGGACAGAATACTGCCTCTCGTCGTCGTCTTTCTTCTCTCATCATAATCATCACAGCATCATCGTCCCGCAGACATGCCCCCAGCTGCTAACCAAGCTGCCCTGACCTCAGGTGCTGTTGTCGCCGCCTCCTTGGCCGTAGCTGCCGCCGTTGCCATCTACGAATACCCCGAGCTACGGCGCTATGCAGACGACACCCGTCGCCGTGTCGCCGTGGCCCTCCAGTCTCTGAGCGACGGCATCAATCCTGCCTCGGCGTCGAGGGATCCGCCCCTGTTCAACAGGCCTGAGGATGCGGAGGGCTTCATCATGTCGACCGACGTCGACGCCGATGATGAGTCACGCCGCAGGCAGCGCGAAGAGCTGCTCTACTGGAACATGATGCGCATGCGGAAGGAGGAGGAGGGGACCGATGCCGAAAAGGCAGCAGCGGCAGCAGCGGCTGCTGCCGGCCCGTCGCCGCCCGCCACCACGTTCGACGACATCCTGAGGCCTCAGCCACCTGCTGCGTATGCGTATGCCAGCGCCGTCCACCACAGGGTTGCCGCCCAGGGAGTCCGTCAACGCGGTGTCGGCACCAGCACGACGGCGTATGCCTATGCCAACCCCTTTGCCGACGAGCACCAGATCGGCATGGACGACCTCGGCCGATCCACCCCCACACCGCACAGCGACAGCCAGTCCGACATCTACAGCACCACCACGCTGGAACACCGTGAGCCCGAGCCCGAGCCCGAGGCCGAGCCCGAGATTGGGCCCGTCGCCGTCGCCGAGCAGCAGCCTCTCATCGACTTCGACGAAGCCACCGTCTCGTCCGCCACCCTCGACCGCAACGACGACAGCTACGAGTACACCGTTGCCAGCAGCGGCCGTCCTGAGCAGGACGGGATGTACGCCTCCATCCAGGCTTGGGCCCGCGGCTCCATGACGGCCGCCGACGACGAGGATGACGACGTCGATGTTGACGTCGTCAGCAGCCAGGGCCAGCTCACCCCCACCGACTCCATGTCTATCATCGGCTCGGGCCGGGACGAGGATCGCGACGGGCGTGAGATGGATGCCGTGAGCGATCTGGGTAGCGTCGTCACGCCGTCTAGCTGGTCCGAGGTCAGCAGCGTCTCTAGCGATGCCGGCGTGGGACCTACCCACTGATGTCGTCCACCTACCCCTGTTTTGGCAACCGCTCTCTTCTATTTGATGGGTTATACGGAACGGCGTTTGATGGCATTGGGCGTCCTGCATTCGGTCTTTCTTCTCCTCTGATCTTTCTTATATATATATATATAAATTTTTTTTGCCTACTCAACAGCCATTGAAGATGTTGCTTCTATCTTGTCCGACATATGCTTTCTAGCCTTGAGGGAGTATTCTGGGAACGACCAAGCTTGCGAGCCATTCTTGTCATCTATCTTTCTGCTTATATATATATATATATATGATATCATCATCGCCACTGTCCTTATTCAGCATTACCGGCTAGTCACTACTACCAGCATCCCCCCGAAGATCGTCAACATATTCCCCCCACAGCAGCTTGACAGGTCTTCCCACCAGCTCCATCCAGAATCTGTCCTCGTCGTATCGGTACAGACGTAACTTCTCGTTGATCCTGGCCACGGTGCCCGCCTCGAACCGGTCCTCGAGGTAGTCGAGAAAGTAGGCCGTATGCTGGTAGCCTGCGTCCCAGCGGCCCGCAGCCGACGGATCCCTCTTCCAGTGAGGCGGGCCCAGCCCGCACCGCAGCCGCACCCAGTCTGCTACGCCCTCTATCAACCCGCCCGGGGCGGTGCCCCGGCCGTTGTGCTGCAGGCAGTGCACCATCTCGTGCGTGGCCACGCCGGCGATCTCCTCGCCCTGCCGCGAGTGGGGCTTTACGCCGGCGATGTACCGCGCCGACAGGTGGATCTCCTTGTGATCGTCGTCCAGCTCCGACCCCGTCGTGTACGCCACGCCGTCCATGTCGCGCACGATGAGCGTCACGGACCGGGTCCCCGGGGCGGTCGCGGTCGAGGGGGACGGGTACAGCCACTTCAGGACGTTGCGGGCCGCGCAGGCCATGACGTCGTCTATGTAGACTGTCTGAAGGACGGCCGAGGCGCCGGGGAGGCTGAGGTCGTGGACCTGGAGGCGGAGCTTGGGCAGCACCAAGTCCCTGTCCTCCTCGGGCTCTGCCGCCGGGGACGTGACCGGTGCCGGGGCTGACGTTGGAGCCGCCGAGAGCGGCGTCGTGGACGGCGAACCTGCAACGGGAACAGGCTTCCTCATCGTTCTCTGCAGGTAGTGATGGACGAGCGTTGATCCCACCTGCGAGAGTGCGGGTGGTTCGGGACGAGGCGGGGGAGGGGCAGGAACGGGTGGCGGGGTTGAGCGGCTCGCCGTGGGACAAATGTCTGACGCAGGAGAAGCACAAGACACAGCGCTAGTTTCGATGGAAGAAGGGGGAAAAAAAAGGGGAACGAATCATGGCTTTACTACAATAAGATAAAAAAAAAACAAGAATGATGCCTACAGTCCGACGGTCAGATCCCGATTACCGAGCAGGACACTACGTAGCGATATCGCTGGGCATCCACGAGCAATGGCTGTATGAGTGGTAAACATATCAATGTCATCGTGTACCTGCCATCATGCGTCTTCTTCTTGCTGATGCCTGGGTCCCAGGCAACGGACGGACCAGGCGACCAATCAGAGATGCCACAGCCCAGACTCCCTCTCCGTCCGTTTCAGTGGAGCCCACTGACCCCTGTGCGGTGGCAGGGTATGGGGGTTACGGGGAACAGGCGGAGGAAGGTGACCACTGCTGGCGGCGACCTGGTTATGCCTACGGCGTACGGAGTAATCTGCACAGATCACGCTGACTGGACCGCTCGAGAGCAGACAATGCTCCCTGGAGCCGAGCCTCTACAGGAGGCAATACAGTGGTCTGGGTACTGGAAGCCTGGTATCGTTACCTGTAGATTCCGTCGGACAGGTGCGGATGGTTTTGCTGCCTCTCTCTCTCTCCCCTGATTGTTGATTGATCACTTGTCCCCCCGTCTTCATCCTTCGGAGTGGAAGCCACCGTCAAGTTCTTTCTCGACGTTTCCAGCTGATCTTCTTATCTTCTTCCTATCTTCTCTCTTTGTTAA